TGGGGGGGTTTTTTTTTTTTTTTTTTTTTTTTTTTCCCCTTTTTTTTTTTTTTTTTTTTTTTTTTTCTCTCTTTCCGTGCATTTATTTCCTGTAGTATTTTGGCGCAAACTGTAAACTTCAGCCCCTCGCTGCAGCAGGGGGAGGCGGGAGCGGGGAAGTCGCCTCGCCAGGCGCCTGCTGCCTCAGCGGGTCGGCCGTCCCCCCGTCCCGCTGCTTCCTTGCGGGACCCCCGGCCTGTTGCTCCGCACCTGCGGGGCCCCGGCTCCCCTCCCGCCGCCCCTTCGCACCAGCTCGCTGCACCCGTGTAGGGTCATTGGCACCGCAGGAGCTGCCATGCATGGGGTGCACCCCAGGGGTCTGCATGCCGCCGCTCGGGCCTCGCTGTGACTCTGTGTTCCCGCAGGGAGCGGCAGGAGCAGCTGATGGGATACCGCAAGCGGGGGCCCAAGCCAAAGCCGCTGGTCGTGCAGGTAAATGCGCGGTGGAGCCCAGCCCCGCACCTCCCAGGCAGCCTGTTTGCAACGCGGCCCCATCCCCAGGGAGCAGCTTTCAGCGGGTTTCATCATGCTAAGGAGCCGTGCGCGCAGCCCGGGCGCCTCGCAATGCCCCGGGGACCCCCAGGCCCCAGCGCTGAGCTCATCGGGCGGCCCCAGCCCCCCCTTACCCTCCGGGCTGCAGGGCAGACCCGCTGCGCCCACGGCCGGGCAGCATTAGCAGGCTGCTCGCAAGCTCGGCAGCAGCGGTCCTGCTTGGCCCCTGTTCCCAGACAGCTGATTGAAGGGTGCTTTTCTTCTTTTCATTGCTTCATTAATCTGGAGCAATGCACAGCCTGTACGTTGGAGTGGGCTGGGGCCGCCTGCTCGAGAACACGGCACCCCGTGATGCAGCGTCCCGTAACGAGAGCCACTGGAGGGGTGGGGGTTTCACCGGAGCCTCCGGCACCTGCTGGAGCACCAGCACCTCCTTCTCCGGCCCCATCTGACCGTGGCCCCTGGCTTTGTGTTGCAGCTTCCCTCCTTTGCCCGCCGCTCGAACATCCTGACGGGGCTGCAGGACCCTGCCGTGGACAACAGGCCAAAGCTGGATCTCGGCTCCTCTGGCAAGAGCCAGCAGCACCAGTATGAACTCAACAGCAAGAAGCATCACCAGTACCAGCCCAACGGCAAGGAGAGCAGCATGAAGCACCAGTCCCACAGCAAAGGGAAGTATTACTACCAGCTGAACAGCAAGAAGCACCACCACTACCAGCCGGACCCCAAGATGTACGAGCCCCATTACCAGCCCAGCAGCAAGGAGCCGCAGAGCCAGGCCTGCTTGGACAGTAACAAGAGCCCCCTGGTCGCCCACCCGGACAAGTGGGCTCATGGCCCGGCCAAAAACCTACTGGGCCCGGTCAAGAACCTCGCTGCAGAGAGCAAGAGTGGGGCTGAGAAGAACCTGTCCAGTGGTACTGGGCCTCCCCCCAGGGACAGGGTGGCCAGCAATGGCCTCGGGGGCAAGATGAAGATCGTCAAGAACAAAAACAAGAACGGGCGCATTGTGATCGTCATGAGCAAGTACATGGAGAACGGGATGCAGGCGGTGAAGATCAAGTCCGGGGAGCCGCCCCGGAAGCGGGCTGCGGAGGAGAGGACTCCTAAGAAGGGTGGGGAGGAGAAGCTGGAGGCTTGGAGGAAGCCAGGGGAGGAGAGGGTGGTGGGCAGCAATGCCCTGAGCAAAGCAGAGGGCGAGGGCTGGCAGCCCCCCACGGAGCTCGAGGAAAGTCCCCGAAAGACTCCCCTGGCCAAGGAGCTGCCCCTTCCTCCGGCGGAACAGCCCCTGCAGCTCACCACCAAGCCGGACCTCGTGCCCTGGTCCCTGAGTCCCGTCTGTGAGCACAGCCCTTCCTCCATGGGACTGAACCTCTCCAGCCCCGGCTCACGGAAGCGCTGCCTGTCGGAGCCGCAGGCAGAGCGGGAGCCGGGCAAGAAGCCGCTGACCTCCCGCAGCATCAGTGCCCCCACCTGCCTCAGTCCCCCAGCCCCGGAGCGGCCGGAGCTGCCCGCCCCCGCCCAGCCGGAGGTCATCCTGCTGGATTCGGACCTGGACGAGCCCATAGACTTGCGCTGCGTGAAACCGCGGGCGGAGGGCGAGCTGGCCTTGGCGCAGGTGAAGCCAGAGGTGCCACCAGCGCAGGCCGAGAAACCGGCCACAGAGCCTCCACAGCCCCAGGAGGCCACGGAGGAGGAGGAGGAGGCCGAGTCCCTGCAGGAATTCAAGCCCTTCTTTGGGAATATAATTATCACAGACGTGACCGCAAACTGCCTGACCGTGACCTTCAAGGAGTACGTGACGGTGTGAGGTGGGACGGCGGCTGCTCCCCGTGGGAAGCCTGCCGTCTCCGCCGAGGGGACGCCGGGGCAGGGCTGGGCATGGCAGCCTTCCCTGCCACGCGGGGTGGACTCGCCGCTGCTCCTGCCCCGCGGTTGGGGGCTGCCCCGGGACCTGCGGGCACCGGGACAGGCGAGGATGGGGCCCGCCAGTTACTCAGAGTTATAGTATTATATTTTAACAGTGCTAACTTGTCGAGTGATTCTTGCTCCCGTTTGTACGTGGTGTTATTGAAATGTATTGTTTGAGCTGAAAGCTGGTCGCTCTCTGGCCACGCTAATATATTTATTTGTAGGTATTTATATAATGAAATATAAAGCCTAGATTTATGGAGTCCCTAGATCACCTTATAAACTATATCAAACGAATATTTTCTGTTCTCCTTTTTAACCATTCAGCATTTGTTAGTCTCGTCCCCTTGCCCTCCTTACGACCCGCAGGACCATCCCCAGTATATATTTTTTGATACTGTACACATGTGGTGTTTCTATGTGCAAAAAAAAAAAAAATCGTTATCTAAAGCTAAACAAGCTATTATAGAAATTGCTGCTATTAGAAAATGTCTAAACTATAAGCTTCCAATTATTAATTGCTTGAATGTAAATATTAAATGGAGATGTTGAAAGTGCATTTGATGTTCTGCAGCTAGTGTAGATCGGATTGCAAAGCCCAGCTGCTGGGAGGTGGAGCGCGAGCTGCCAGCGGCGCTTCCTGGTCCGAGGGCTGTGTCACGGGGGAAGAAATGTATCATGCAATCATTGCAAAGGACTATAAACCTTTACAAAAACTACCAGGATTTGGAGTGCATTTGTTAACTGCATATGGCTGGCACAGCAAGCGGCCCCGTGCGGGCAGGCTGTGGCTGGGGTGCTCCGGAGCAGGTGCTTGCAGGTTAAAATGGGCTCCGAGATGCAACAGATCGAAGGTAGTTCTGGCTTTTCCCCAAAAGCGCAGATGAAAGCGTGCTGCCCGCGGCGTAAGGGCACCCCGTTTTCTCCTGGTGCTGCCCAGGCGGGCAGCAAGGCCGTAGGAGCCGGTGGTTCGGTGTTTCCCTCTCCCCGCAGTGCCGAGGCAGGGCTGTGCTTCTCCAAAGCAAAATGGGCTGCGCAAGGTCTGCGATGGGAAATCTGGAAGGTTTCTGGGAATGCAGGCCGGGAAAGTGGCTGCAACGGATGGGTGATTGCTAGTTCTCAGCCTGACGCTGCCGGATCAGCGGCATTAGACAAGGAGTTTAACTTCTTCAGAAAGGAAGATGGTCCAAATTCCACAAATAAGCCTGCAGGCATCTCTGAACTAGATTAATAATTGCTGGAGTCCACTGAAAATACAGTGCAGGGCTAATTCTGTACAAAATGGCTCACGTGAAGGTGGCAGCCCAGCAGCGTGGAGCCTGTCTGCAGGTGGCTGGGATAACCCCGCTGCCCCCGGGATTCCCTGTAACGTTCCCAAGCAGAGTCGAGTGCTCATACGGTAACTGCCCTCCGAATCTCCTGCTTGCCAAAGTGGCTCCGTTGCCAGCCTTTCTCATCTTGGGCTTTTGCTTGGAGCTGATTTCTCTTTCAGGGATCTTAGTTGAAATATTGTTGTTGATGGCACGTGAATGTGTATGGACAAGAGCCTCAAGCTTGCAAGAAGCAGAATTAATTGGTTTGGGTGAGGTGGACCCTGCAGTTACGCGAGAGTTCCCTGAAGCCGTGGGTGAGTTGCCCCTGCCGTGTGCGAGAGCCCAGGGCATGGGTAGCACCCTGCGGGCTCAGCCCCTGGGTCCTGCTGTGGCACGGCGTGTGTCTGTCCGGGCGGTGCTGTTCCCAAAGCAAAACCAAACCCCTCCGTCTCGTGCTGCCCACTTCTGGGCCACCTAGTCTTCCCAGGCTTCGTTTTATTTAAATAAAGTCAAAAGTCAGCTTGGCAACTCTTCTTTTTTAAATCCTGAGGATTATGTGGCATCCGCAGAAAGGTGGGGCAGCATCCAGCCAGGTGGCATCTGCTGGGGCTTGTTGGCAGTGGGAGCCGCTGCATGAGCTGTGTCGGCCTAAGTGATGCCTACAGATGTTCTCGTGCCAGAGCACTTTTCCAAGGCAGCTTGGGTTAAATTGGAGGAAAAGCAACCACTGAGTGTGTGGGTGCCATTTTCTCAGCTGGGACAGCCATGGAGGCTTGTATCCAAGTGGAAGAATCTCAACTCTGGACTCTGTTGTCGCAGACGTTGGGTTTGGTCTGGTGTACCTCAGGTTTGCTCGTGCGGTGGTGGGAATGGCTTGCACCAGAAAGGTTGCTCCATCCCAGCTATTTGGTTAAATTTCTCGTCGTGGGTGAGGTCAATACTGACAGCTCGGTTCATCTCTTGTTTCAGTTGATGCTCCAAAGTCAATGGAAACTCGTGCAATATGTTTAGTGCCTGTGATTCTCACTTGCCTGCATGGAGACCCCAAAATCTGATTGTACGTGCACGGAGAGCTAGTGCAAATAGGTGAGCTGTGATTAAAATGAACATTTTGCCTGTTAGCTGTGCTGAATCTTAAGAGGGTTTTAATCAACTCTACCTGTCACCGGGGCTGTGCGAGTGATGGGCAGAGGCAGCGGCGGCCGAGGGTGCTGGAGCGCAGGTGTTGGGGGCAGGTGAACCCCCGTCTGTGCCGGGGAGATGCCCAGGGATGGTTTGGTGGGAAGCGTTTCCCTGCTGTCCCAGCCTTAGCTGGCAGAGCAGACAATCAGAAATGATGCATTTCCCTTGATTAATTAAGCTAATGGTTATCTGAAGACAAAAATGGCATGGAAGAGGAGACGCATGCTCAGAATGCAAAATGTGATTTATGAAAGGGGAAGTGCTGCTCGACAGACAGCGGCAGGAGCCAGTCCAGGAGCGGGGCTGGGCAGGCGGGCTTGCTCTGGGGCAGGGTGTCTGCAGAAGGAGAACTTTTTCTTTAGCCAGACAAAGGTAGATGAAACCAAGAGGGTTTCTCACAAAGCGTAGAATGTGTCTTTTAAACGTGGGCTTGCAGGCTCCTGGCCAAAGCCTGAGCATCGCTGCTGCTGTCGTGAGCTGGGTCAGCAGCTTCCTTCTCCAGTCTGTAGGTGTGTGAGACTCTGGGCAATTAATAACTGCTTGCAGGTCTACAGTGAGCTTAGCTCAATATCGTTTTTAACAATGGATTGTATTGTGTTGCTCGTTTTTAAGGAAACAGTGTTCCTCGGAGTGTGTGCTTTCTGAGCTTCCTT